AAAACACCGCAGGAAGGACGCCACCAAAGAGTCTGCAGCAGGTGGGCTGCCAACAGGAAGCAAATCAGAAATGCTAAAAACCTTCTCATCACTGGCATGAAAGAAGGAAAATAATCTGGTCCTGATAACCGGATGCAGGTGGATCAGATGAGAGGCAATGGGCAACTGGGCAGAGTTAGACAGGTGAATAAAATAAGCAGTTAAGGCAGCCATCAATGCTAAGATCATGACAGTGATGTTCTCTGTTGCTCTGGTCTCATCCAGGTGTGGAAGCAAACAGTTACTGTAGAGCCTCTCTGTTTATTTCTACTGCTTTATTTTCTCTCTTTTCATGAACTCTTTCCTCTCTCTCCCTTTCCATATTCATTTTAATCCATATACGATTTCACTCCCTAAATAATGTTGAATAAAGTTTAATCTAGAATGATCAAGCAGAACCTTATGGCAGCAGTAACACTGCTCTGCTTGTGAAAGCAAAGCTGTTGGCCAATCAGCTGTGAGAGATCAGAGCTATATTAGCTAAACAGGTCATTTACTTTCTAAGGCTTATGTTAAGTTAATAATAATAAAAAAATATTAGAACAATGGATCTGACTAATAGATGATTTACAGGCAGCAGATTAAGCAGAATGACCAAATCCTGAGGATTTTATACTCGTGAGTGAATAAGAGGAATAATGTGATGCAAGCTGTGAAAACAGAAGACGGCTGATTTAGAAGAAGGATGAAGATGATCAAACGTCTTTGTTAAAGAAAAGCATCAAAACTAAATAATTTTCAGAAACTAAAACTTCTCTGTGCCTTAAACCCACAGGATGTGAAACATCTCCAGCGTTTTATCCATTAAATTAAATTAGAAAACACCTTCTTAATCTATAAATGTTTTTTACTACTGAATCGGTCTCCGCCAAGTGACGTCAATTGTTTACCTCGGGCGCGGTACACTATGCCTTTTCCACTTAAAATGGCGTCTTAGCAACAAAAGTCACGTGACTGGCGGAGACCAATTCTGATCAGTTGGACTCACTACCTCTGTGACTCACTTTGTTGCCTAGCAACATTAAATGGCTGTTGATATTCTTTGTATTCCTCTAATATAGTTGATCAAAGAACCAAAATTAGCATCTTCGTTTCATAGAGTGAGAAGGTAAACTGGTGTGAGAGAGAGCAGAGGC